GGGCACGGCCTCCTCCCATCCCTCGGCGGGCGCCTAAGCTTCGGCTAGACGCAGCCGCGCTTTGGCTACAACCCCCACCCGAGTCAAGACAGTCAAGACGCGCGTAGTAGGGACCCGAGTAGGGACTCGAACAGCCAGCGCGACAGTAAGTAGGGGGGGCAGGGGAGTAGAACAGAGAGAAGGGAGGGGACCACCAGGGAGAAGAAAAGGGGGAGGAGCCGATAAAAAGGAACCTAAACCCAGCTGCATACAAAAACACGTACACATTACCACACACATGCGACATGGAGCATAACGGAGAGAGAAAGAAGAAAATAAAAATCTCTCTCTCTCATAACGGCGAGAGAATGGAACGCCCTGATGAAAGCGATGCACGGAAATCACACCGCATAGAGTGGGCGCTGTGCGCCCTCGTATGGCGCCGCTGATACCACTGGCATCCCCGAGCGGCGCAAGGGCGTGGATGTGGTGCGTCTCCGCCGCTGTCATGGGTGTCGCCCTAGCCAGATGGCGGGGAAGGAAAGACAGAGGAGACGGCAACATGTGGCATCCCTACTACTAGTGCCGCGCACTTGCGAATCCCGCCTTCTAACTGCCATGTCACGGCCGGTCGGCTGCTGCTCTCGCCTCGCCGGCGGCGCGGTCTGGTGCCGCGGCGCCCAGCTCTCCTGTGGGCTCGCGGCGGCTCGCCGCCGCGGTGCCGAACAATGTGATCAGTCCGGATTCGTCCCGGCGTGCCGCCGGTGCTGCTTCCTCGCCGATTTTTGGCTCGACCAGTTTGTCGACAAACCTGTGCCAGAGCTCCTGCTGGTCGACTGAGCGGCGGAGCCGGCCCTTCGCGGCCGAGAGGCGATGCGCCGACACCGGGGCTACGGCTCGGGACCGTTTCCAGGCTCTCTCGAGCAACCTCAAATTCTGATGATTTCATGCTCGCCACTTTGCTGCACACTTTGAGCTCGACCCGCGGCCCGCTGCGCGGCTCTTCGAGCGCGAGAGGTGACGTCTGCGAGGCGGCGGCGAGCGCAGGCGGCGCAGGCGGCGGCGGCGCGGCGGCGCAGACCCGCTCGCCGGCGAGCCTTCTGCCCTCGAGCGGGCGCGCGTCCTCTGCTCGTGGGGCGAGTCGGATCCGACCGTTGCGGCAGTCGGTTCCACAGTCGAGATCCACTCTCTCGTCTCGCGGCCTTCGATGAACGGCAAGGTCGGCGTCGTCGTCTCCGCAAAACGCTTCGACGGCCCGCTTCGGCGTGCGTGTGGCGGGCGAGGCCAAGGCACTCGCACTGAGGCGCGCAATGCAATGGTCTCTCCCCGACTCGCCGGATCCTCTCTTTGACACACCTCTTGCCCTCCCTCAGGCCGGCCAACCTGCAGCCAGCGGCCGAGGCGGTGGACGTGGGCAGGCTGATCCTCAAGGCGGCGGAGTGGTCGCCGCAGTCGCACGAGCTCTTCCCGGAGGCGGCTCGCAAGCGGGCGGTCGAGGTGATGCGGCTGGGCTACCTGATCGCCTGGGACGAGGAGCGCTTCGACAGCCGCGAGGGAGCGGCTCCAGAGCTGGCGGACATCTGGCGCGGCTTTGTGCTGCCAAGGGTGGTGGTGCGATGACTCACTCGATCCGCACGGGGTTTTCAGTGAGAGGGCCAAACCTCCAGCAGGGGGTCTTGCCGTTGCCCGGATGCAGCTCCGCGTTGCCTGAGCGCCGCCGCGGAGTGCTGAGTGAGGCGGGGAGAACCAACTCTCGCGGCAATATTAGGAGTAGCAAGTACAGTTGCATTCTGGATCCTTTTGAAGAGTAGATACGTCGTGTCCTGTCTGCGTTTTCTTTATTCGGGCTGTTGGGTTGGCTGCATACAGCCATAGCTCTGACGTCTGAGCTGCGTGTAGCGCGCACCTGCCACCCCTCCCCTTCGGGTCGCTCCTGAAGCAACCTCATCGCAAACCCTGTCAGCTCAATCCTCCTACACTCTACACACACACACACACACACACACACACACACACACACACACACACACACACACACACACACACACACACACACACACACACACACACACACACACACACCGCTCACCCACGCGCACCGGGCCTTGCACTTTGAATGCCGTGGGGCTCCTGTCGTTAGACGTGGAGACGCGAGCAGGGTCGCTTA